CCCCCCCCCCCCCCCCCCCCTTTTATTCATTGGATTCCAGTTCTTTCAGTCATGGAGGCTCAGCATCACATGGGGGTGTCTCCTAGGGTGGTCTGCATGCAAATTCAGCCTGGCTAGGAACACCCACTCCTCCAGACTGACATGCACCCATCAAGGCATTTTGATATTTGCATAACTCCTCCCAAGAGCCAGCCCACTGCTTGCATCAGGGCTGATGTGCAGCACCCTGCCGGCCCCTCCCAAAAGCCATGACCTGCCTGCATTGCATAAAGAAGCACAGGGTCCCAGTGATGATGTCACTGGGTCTAAAACGAGGTATGTAATGAGAACAGGGGGAGGGAAGAACCAGGGAAGTGGAAATATCAGCAGATTGAAGTTCAGGTTTGAAATATTCCCATTTCCAGTGTAAGGTACAGAATAGAAGTGAGCAGCTGATTGCTTGGTGTCTGAGCGCTCTGCTTGTGCTGTGCCGGGTCTCAGCGTGATCTGGAGGGGGGACGGAGCTGCTGGTGCAGCAGATGATGCGCAAGGCATTTTCTTCCATTCTGGGGATTTGCACTTTGTAGAAATGACGGATTCCACACTATAGCGTTGTTCTGCGCACTTGGCGCCTCGGCTCCCGAATTTTATCCCCACGCGTCCCTAGATTGTGATGTGTGGCCAGCTCTGTCCCCAGGGGGCCCCGCAGATCATACGCACCTTCTAGAACAGCATGGGTCAGGCTGCAGATAATGAACGGCTTCCACTGGAAGTATGAGTCAGCCGTTCTGCTGCTTGTGCTGGGAATAATTGCACAACGTGCAATAAGGGCACTTTTAAAGGGAAATGCCCCGTATATGTTTTGATGACATATATTAGAGTCAAATATTTATATATAGCAAGACAGTGTGATGGGAAAGCTGTTTATGGGCCCTTTCACACTTGTGTGTTCTGCAACACGCTCATTAATCCACATTGCCACAATGCATGGTGATGCCGTTGCTGTATGTGTGGTGCCATTTATTGTGAATGCCGCCCTGGCAGTGTGAGGGGGAGCCCCCACTGCACGGGTAGGATACAATCTTGTCTTTCCCATACAGTCCTGTCCTTGCCCACTACAGCCCTGTCCTTGCCCACTACAGCCCTGACATTGCCCACTACAGTCCTGTCCAGCAAGGAAAGGACTGTAGTGGGCAAGGACATACAATAGGCTATTATAAATGTGAAAGTCATGTCAAAGTTCACTTTCAGGTAAATGGTAAAATAATAATGAAAACTGTGTTGTCACCGGGAATGTACTGTCGTTTTCCATTGAGGATCCCCAAGACATAATTTCCAAGCTAGTATGTAATGTTCAAATATTAAAGGACAACTTCACCTCGATTTGTCTTATAAGGTCCTCTCCTATTCATACTGAACATGTGTACTGCACTCCCGTTCATTATGGGCCAGCCATACTCTTGGGGACTGCTGGAGGCATTGCAAGTCTCCTGACATCCACATTCATGATGGGAGTTGCAGTTGCAACACAGCTGGAGTGCCAAGGTTTCCTACCTATGATGTAAGAGGAAAGATCGCTAGATCAAGGAGGAAAGTTAGTATTATCCCCAGGCTATCTGGGGATAAATGTTAAACATTTTATATTAATTTATAAACTTTTTAAAATTATAATTTTTTTAGTATTTTTGTTTATTAATTTTATTTTATTTTTTACTTTACTGTTCAGGGAAATATTAGGAATCTAAACAGACCCCTGATATTTCCCTTTTGAAATAGAAAAAGAGATTGAGAACACAGAGTCCTCAATCTCTTATTCTGCAGACCCTGTTTATAAATGAACAGGAATCCTCTATACTGAGTGTTCATTCATAATATGCGGATGTAGTATGTTTACTATGTACACAATTATGAATGAACAGGAAGTGATGCAGAGCACTTCCTGTTCATTCATAATTGGGGAAACAGTAAAAATAATATGTCCTCAATTATTTACAAACACGATCACTGATCACTGACTGCTTGTACCCGCTCTCCATCCTGACTCGCGGTCACAGGAGGCTGTGTGGTCTCTTTTGACAGCTGACTCCTCCCCCTCACCGCAGGCCCGGTCTCCTGTGACAGCTGTCTTCTCCCCCACACCGCCAGCTCAGCCTCCTGTGACAGCTCACAGCGGTAGCCTACCCCACACCACTCTCCATTCTGATCTGTCACAGGATGCCTAGCGGTGCGGGAGGAGAGCTCAGCCTCCTGTGACACGACCCTCACAGCGCTCTCCTCCTAGCACCACTCGGCCTCCTGACAGTTTCTCTCCTCCCCGCTGGATGCTGTGGTGTGTCAGAGGGGACACAGAGCGGCGTCCAGCAAGGAGGAGAGAAACCAGGGATGCACCGCAATTTTGGGCGAAAGATGGCACTTTCGGCATTTTGCCCACAGTACCATTTTCAGCCGATATGATTTACGGCCAAAATTTCTTCTCATCCCTTGTAAAAAGGAGTGTTGTCAAAGTGCATCTAAAGCCATGCGTTTTCTTTTCATTTGGACACAATAGGGAATGGTGAAAACCCCATTTAGATTCTGTTTTTCCATCTCTGCCCCATTTGAGATTTTTCCTTCACTTCCTGTTCTGTAGACTCAACAGGAAGTTAGAGAAAATCTCTCCAAAGGGAGGGAAATGCCCTCTTAGACAGTGGTCAACAGAACAAGTGTCCCCAGTGGAAGATTTCCCTTTGTTCTAGTGGCCACCCACAATTTGGGTTTCTCCTTCACTTTCAATCCTTGGATAATAGGGTGAATCCCAGGACTAATAGGGTGAATCTTCCTAACTGCAACCCAGACGGCAATAAAAACCTGACAGGGGTTCTTAGCTCTCAACACTCTATCCATACCTAAAATAAGGTTTTGGCTTTACATACACTTTAAATGAAAGTCAAGGGTTACGTTGTGGGCAGTTTGAGATGCCGTTAGTGCTTAGCGGAGTTACCCTTTAATTCTGAGGCATCCGAGCCCTAAGGAACCTTGAAAGATAATGTAGGCCACGGGCAGTGGGGACTGGGCACCGGCGACGTCCTGTGCAGTCAGATGCTAATACAATCGACGTTGTTCTTTTGTTCCGCAGTGTGTAGACCAGTTGACGAAGATCCAGACGGAACTGCAGGAGACAGTGAAGGATTTAGCCAAGGCCAAGAAGAAGTACTTTGAGGCCGAGCAGATGGCACATGCAATGCGGGAGAAAGCCGACATCGATGCCAAGTGAGTTCCCTGTGTCTGATGATATGACCTGAAGACGCGTCCAATTTCACAATCATTATTCATGGCAGCGCTTGGCTGTGTGTGACTTGCGGAAGGGAGCCGTGATTGAGATCACGCTGGACTCCATCCAGCCATGTGTGAGCGGAGTCACTGGGGACGGGGAGCTGAAACTCATCAGCTCGTTGGCTCAGAATGGGTTTGCTGCAGGTTTTAAAGGATCAGTCCACGGAGTATGAGATTTCAGTTATAGATGAAAGCGGGTCTTCCACCTCAGTCTCCTCCCCCTTCCTTAAACACTGCATAAAAGTGCCTGTGAGGGTAAAAATAGATAATATACTCGCCTTTCCCCGTCTTCCTCCCTCAGCACCTAGACAAGGGTGACGTCCTCCTTTTTCCGGCTGGATCATGGCCCAAATCTCGCCAGGAGACTGTGCTGTGCTGCAATGTCGTCTTTCCAGATTTGGGCTATTCAATATTCACAGGGATCTTGCCAGCAGGAGGATGACGTCACCCCTTGGACTATGGAAGTTGGAGAAAGATGAGCATAATATGTTTTTCCTTCCACAGGTACCACGGGGGGGGCACCTTGAATGAGTTGACCTTGCCACTCAGGCGGAAGGTTCACTTTAAGTTTGTCCATTGGCTTCTTGTCTCTCAGCGATTTCCGTTCCCTGCTCTCAGCCTTGTGGGTGTTCCCACTTTTCCTGTATTGTTTTGTGTAACACCATATAAATAAAATCCAATAAATAAATAAATCTTCGTAATGAATGCGGCAAGACTCTCCAGCGTCTACTTAAAGCTGAAATGCCGGTTGGACTTTCTCCAATAAAAGAAAAAAACAAATTGCTATTGCATTCTAGCAAACTGCACCCATAATAAAACCAGGAATTTCAAAGTACATTTATCCTTTTTGCCCCACCACCCACCCCTGACCTAACCTAACCTAACCCAACCCACCGTCCCCCTCTGCAGATGCTTCTCAAGCCGACGGCCACAGTTCCTCCTGTGTGTTTGCATCCAGATATACAAGTCTTCAGTGTCCTAGTCGCATCTGAACACTAGTGCCCCATAGACTTCTGTGGCGCTGTATCCTGTGATCGGAGATGGTCCCATAGAAGTCTATGGAGCTGTAATTCACAGGCGTCACTAGGACAGTGAAGGTTTCTCTCCTGGATATTAACCGAGGAACCACTGCTAACATATTGATGTAACTAGGTATGCACCGATACCGTTTTTTCGGTATCGAATCCCGACATTTTTTTTCCGGTACTCACCGATACTGGAAGTCCCATTTAAGGTAGCCAGGCGGCATGTAATGACTCGCCACCTGGCTTCCTGATTAGCAGGGAAGCCGTCTCCATGCTACCAATCACTAGGTGACTAGAAAGCATGTAGCCGGCTTTCTGGCCAAGCAGGAAGGCGGGCGCCGTGTAATGATGCGACGCTCGGCTTTCTTATTGGCCGGGAAGCCGACCCCATGCTCTCTCGCCAGCTTCCTGACCAATCACAAGTGACGAGGAAGCATGGGGCTGGCTTCCTGGCCAATCAGGAAGCCAGACAGCGTGTAATGACTATTGGAACTATTGGGGCGAGTACGGGTACTCGCACAAATACTCGGCATCGGCACCGCTACTAGTATCGGTGCATCCTTAGATGTAATCATACATCTGTGGAAGGGGGAGATTAGGTTAAGATGGGGCTTAAAGGATAAATGCACTTTGTCCCACAGCACACTTATCCATTAAATAAAAATAATTTCAAAGTGAATCTGTCCCCAGACAAAGTGGGGGCACACTGAGTTTCTTCTCATTAACCTACAATGCTTCTATATTTTTAACCCTTTGTTAGGACTACAGTGTATACATCTAGATAAATGAGATCTGCCAGCACAGTACAGACAGGGTGCATTATGGTAAACATGAACTCCCCACCCCCCTTTTTATAGCAGAGGAAAGTTCAGTTGTGGAGTTTTTAGAAAAGAGCAAGGTGTTATCCCAATTTGGCAGCAAAAGTTGAAATACACAGTGGTTCTCAACTTGTATAACCTCAGGGCTCACATTTGTCCTTGGTCATTAAGTCGCGACCCTGTAGAGGTGAAGGGAGCCAGAATGTGACGTCACTCCGGTCATGCAAGGGATCTGTAAGCAATGCATGCATGGAGCTCCCTCGCGGCCATACCCCACCCCACCTCAAGCTGACACTCAGTGCCAGGCAGCATATTTTGAATGGCTACTAAGTTACTAAACCATCTAATTCTGTTCAAAAGATGGTCCCTGGAGTTCAGATTTAAGTCTTTATCTCGTATATTAAAGATGAATAACACTCATATTTAAAGTTGTCTACTGCAATGCCAGATTATACCAAGTGTACATCAGCATGTGTTAATGTTTTCAGGACACAAGTCATGATTCTAAGAGAGTTAAGTAACCCTAAGGCCTTGTTCACACCTGGACGATTTACAGCGCGTTCCTACGCTCTGTAAAATGCTCAACATGTGAAAACCAATGATCGCCTATGGGTATGGTTCCCACTTGGGCGTTTTTACAGCGCGTAGGAATGTGCTGCAAAATGCCCTACGCCCAAAGAAGTACAGGAGCTTCTTTGGGGCGTATTTGGCACGCGTATCCATTGGGATACAGCCAGGTAGCCTTTGGAAACGTGCGTTTGTCACCGCGAATCGCGGTCAAAACGCGCAACAAACCCGCATATTCGATACGCCTAGGTGTGAACCCAGCCTAAGAGATGAGATCCTCACCAGATTGGGTGTCAATCTTGTGTCTATGTGTAGCCATAAAATAGAGATAAGTTCCTCCCAATCTTATCAGAAAACCTCCAGGTCGAGCAAGCATGTTGTGTTTGTGCCACCCTAGGACTCCCAAGGCCGACCATTATTCAGTCAGTTCCAATGACTGTGGTCACCAGGAGAAATAGATGCTGGAATGCAGACAGTAGTGACCCCCAGTAGCCAATCAAATTTTAGCTTTTTATTCCTCTTATCGGACTACATTAGGCTGAAATAGTCAGTAATCCGCAATCAGCTCCATTAATCATTGTATATGACTCATGTAGGACTACGGGTGTCTCGTTATTTTCCAATAAGCTTTATAATAATAATAGAAGATTCTGGAAAACACACACAAGTTTCCTGTCCTCAGTAGTCGGTTTTAGTCAGCTTCCTAGGCAGAAAAAAAGGTAAATATTTTATCACTATGTACATATATATCCTGTGATACTGAATGCTTTGTGGTCAGGAAAGTGTTAGTGAATGTGGGCGCCACAGATCCCTATCTGCCGGGTACAGTTATGGTGGTTTTCAAAGGTTGGGCATACCATGTGTCCCTATCTCAGCTCCGCACAGCAGCGCCGGGACAAAAGCCTAATTTCCTGTAATAGAATCTGATTCTCACACCAGGCCGTGTAGAATCCACAAGCTCTGCCCTTGTCTCGGCTCACATCTCCATTGTTATCGGGAGAGGAAACGGATTCTGCTCCCGTGTGCCAGCAAAGGACCGGCCATGACCAGAGTCAGTATGAGTAGCGAACGTTCATACAAAAAAATCTGGTCGGGAACATTCCATAACGCTTGAGGAATGTCATTAGAAATTTCATCTGATTTTAACATTCACAGGTTATTCACAAAAGGGTGAAGAGTTTGGAGAAGGTCGGAGAAGGGAACAATCTAGGACAACATAGCTGAACTGGAAACATTCTCAAACTCAGCTCACTTTCCAGTTCAGCTACGTTGTCCTAGACGTTCACTTCTCCTGCCTTCTCCAAACTCTTCACTCTTTAGTGAATAGCCCTGTTGATTTTGGAATGAATGGAGTTTATGAATGAAAACCACATCCGCTGTTTTCCCATCCTGCTTCGATTTTTTTTTTTTTTCGCAACGTTCGAAGACAATCATCGATTTAATCCCATTAATAGAAAATCAAACAAATGTTCCAAAATCAAAATTCTACTAAGAAGCAGGTTGACTGCTATACCCACCTTATCTATGGTGCTGCTTCTGCAAACTCACAAGCTCACCCGGTCACCGATCCTTTTCCAGGTTGCATGACACCCAGCTTCATTGTACCCACTTCCTGTGAGCCCAGGGTGTCATTTCCTGCCCTGGACTTGCAGGAGAATGCTGTAGAGAGCACTTAGAGCCTGAACTTGGGCTTTAAAAGAGAACTATGGGGTAAGTGTTTTTCCCCATAGTTCTTTTAAGGGAATCCTCCTGTGAATCAAAGCTCAGTATATCAGGAGTTACAGCTTGCGGTATACTGAGACCCCCGCAGCCAGGACAGATCCCGACAATGCTGTCGAGATCCACCCAGGTGCCTTAATGACAGCTGGCTCTGCCTATCGAGAGGCAGAGCCAGCTGTGCCCGCCCCCTTCCACGTCCGTTCCTCCAGTCATTGCTAGAGGAGGGGGGAGAATCCTTGCAGGGAGCTGTGAGTGACAGTCACCGCTTTCTGCAGGGAGATGATCGAGAAGTGACCAAGCGATGTGTTCGTTCACTTCCCGATCTATTGAGCCGACGTGTGACAGTTTCATTGTCACACGTAGGCTCGAACTATGGGGATGAGGGATTTTCACTCACCTCATAGTTCTTCTTTAAAGAATGATTAAAGCCTCCGGTGTTTTTGCATATATCTATAGCTAGCAAGCAGTAGATGTATGCAAAAAGTGTTTAAAAAAAAAACCCCGCTGTGTTTAAAAAACGCTCCCCGTCCGAAAATGTGGAAATTCTCGGGCGGCCGCAAAGCATCTTGGGGCGCGCGCATGCACAGATCACATTTTCGGCCTGGAGACGAGGAGAGACGCAAGGTAAGTCTATGGACACGTGCACCCGCATGCAGACACCGTGGGACAGGAAGTGCCAGCAAGGACAGAGGAGTCAGCGCTGGATCGGAGACCCGTCGCAGCGCTGGATCGGAGACCCGTCGCAGCGCTGGATCGGAGACCCGTCGCAGCGCTGGAAAGACAGATGAAAAGGACAGGAAAGAAGAGGAAGATCGGATGAAGAAACATCATTTAAGGTAAGTGCTTTAATTAACATTGGGGAGAGGGAAAAACATTTTTGACTTTAATGTCGCTTTAAATGTTAATAAATATTATTATTGAAATGCATGCTGACGGCCATCTTTGCCCACGTGTGGCCTGTGCAGTGACAGCGGGCTCCATATGCGGGAGTTTGCACCCACAGCTGACTCTCTGCTTCTATTACCAGTTTATTAAAAGGACTTCCTTCCCTTTGTAGACAGACGGCTGTATAAATAGTGTGTCCAGCAAGGCATTGTATATATGGAACGCAGCCACTGCAAACGTCAAAGGAACTGCATGAGATGTATGTAGGCTGCCATTGCTGGCCAGATTCTGCAAATGCTAGCCGTCTGGCTGTCTCTGGCTTCATCATTTTGAGTCACTGGTGAATAACAAGTTAAAAAAGTGAAGTCTATAGCCCACAAGAAATTCTTAAATTGAGGCTACTAGAGCAGCGTGACAGCCAGGCGGCTAGCATTATCATCATGCCAGCCAGCGTATTCCTGTGAGCACAGGTTTGCTCTCTGGGTGAACCCGCGCTGGATTAAGCATCTCCTGTGTGAAAGGACACGGGATTATCTCAGATTCGGCCATGTACATTCTGGTTGCACTGGCGGGGCATCTGCTGTGGAAATAGAATGTGTTCCGGAGATTGGGAATTGTATTATGGAACGTTGGCTAATCAGGGGATTTGTAGAATGAAAATTTAGAGGCGCCTTGATCTGTTGCATCTGTTCTTAGTATAGTACATTGTGCGGGGGAGGTTCTGAAAGCCTGAGCAGGATGAAAGTGTCATTTTAATATTTTTTTGTAGTTTGATACCTTTCAAGTTGTCAATAGGAGCTGAAAATGGAGAATGAAAAGGAGTTGATAGTCTGTGCAATGCTTTATTACAGGGGTAGGCAACCTGGGTACTTCAGCTGTGGTGAAACTACAAATACCATCATGCCTTCGCCTCTGGGGGTCATACCTGTGGCTGTGAAGGTGATCCACTTGATATGAAAATCCTTACCAATGTGTTATTGGGAAGAATGGAACCATTACATTGGTGGTCAGTGGGAAGAATGAAACCATTAAATTGGTGGTCAGTAGGAAGAATGGAACTATTACATTGGTGGTCATTGGCAAGAATGGAACCATTACATTGGTGGGAAGAATGGAACCATTACATTGGTGGGAAGAATGGAACCATTACATTGGTGGTCAGTAGGAAGAATGGAACCATTACATTGGTGGTCAGTGGGAAGAATGGAACCATTACATTGATGGTCAGTGGGAAGAATGGAACCATTACATTGGTGGTCATTGGCAAGAATGGAACCATTACATTGGTGGAAAGAATGGAACCATTACATTGGTGGTCAGTAGGAAGAATGGAACCATTACATTGGTGGTCATTGGCAAGAATGGAACCATTACATTGGTGGAAAGAATGGAACCATTACATTGGTGGTCAGTAGGAAGAATGGAACCATTACATTGGTGGTCAGTGGGAAGAATGGAACCATTACATTGGTGGTCAGTAGGAAGAATGGAACCATTACATTGTTGGTCACTGGGAAGAATGGAACCATTACATTGGTGGTCAGTGGGAAGAATGGAACCATTACATTGGTGGTCAGTGGGAAGAATGGAACCATTACATTGGTGGTCAGTAGGAAGAATGGAACCATTACATTGGTGGTCAGTAGGAAGAATGGAACCATTACATTGGTGGTCAGTGGGAAGAATGGAACCATTACATTGGTGGTCAGTGGCAAGAATGGCACCATTACATTTGTGGTCAGTGGGAAGAATGTGGAACCATTACTTTGGTGGTCAGTGGGAAGAATGTGGAACCATTACATTGGTGGTCAGAATGCCACACTTACAGACACCTAAAAAGATAATTGGTGTCATGCCGATGGCTCTGCCAAGTAGTGTGGCCCCTGAAGTATGGAGGCACCATTATAGGTGAGGTCAATCAGCTGCAGCTCGAGCAACCTCTGGAGGAACTAACGGATAACTTACAGGATTATAGAGAAACCGGCTTTCCATTATACTTAATGCATATCTTCTCTATTCTTCAGTACCTGCAAATTATATAAATCCACTTTGTGTGCACCAAAATGCCTTTGCCACCCAGATATCTCTTTGTAAAAATAGCAGTGACATCATCACTGTGCTGTACATACCTGGTGCAGAAAAGCAGAGCAGGAAAGTACCGGAGAGGGTGGAGACGAGACCAGTCACCCTGCACAAGGAGAGAGAGTAGCAGTGAGCGGTCTTTATTACAGGGAGCTCCAAGTCTCACATGGGATTACTGCACAGATCTGGAAGAAATACACATGACTCTTGTATTAGGACAATATATAATTATCCCGGAGTACAGCATTAACACATGTTTGACACAAGGTTGCATCCTACTGAACTTTTCATGTTTTTTTTTTTCCTCTCTTCACAGATCCAAACTTAGTTTGTTCCAATCGAGGATAAGTTTACAGAAGGCCAACGTGAAGGTAATTGTATGTTGCTTGCAAATTTGCATTTACTTTCTAAATTGCTTTATTCCACCCCTGCAAAATGCACATGGATACTAATGAGAATGTCATTCATTAGGTAGTGATACCATCATCTGTCATTGTCCAATAGCCACCAACAACCAAGTCTTGCAGTGCCTCATGGGACTTGTAGTTGCACTACAGCTGGAGGTCTAGAGTTTGGCTACCCCTGCCCTAAACCTAAACCAGCAGTCAACCATTGAATTATGGGAAATGGGGGGCAGGGCCCGGCCCAACTGCATGGAGAGTTTTGCGGTTTCAATGGAGTCCCTGTAATCAGAGGCGTAACTAGAAACTTCAGGGCCCTGGTGCAAGAAACCATGAAGGGCCCCCCACCGCCATGGGAAGGCACTATAAACAGGCAGTGTTTCTTTAACATTAAGGCTGCCGAGGTCCCCAACAAACGGGGAACCGCAGGCAGCTGCTTCAGTTGAAAAACGTAGTGCCGATATCTGCGTTTAGTATCGAGGCATTTTCACGAGTACTGGTGAACATGCCCAGTATTGGCACTGGTGCCTCAGAACCATTACATTGGTGGTCAGTAGGAAGAATGGAACCATTACATTGGTGGTCATTGGCAAGAATGGAACCATTACATTGGTGGGAAGAATGGAACCATTACATTGGTGGTCAGTAGGAAGAATGGAACCATTACATTGGTGGTCATTGGCAAGAATGGAACTATTACATTGGTGGGAAGAATGGAACCATTACATTGGTGGTCAGTGGGAAGAATGGCACCATTACATTTGTGGTCAGTGGGAAGAATGTGGAACCATTACTTTGGTGGTCAGTGGGAAGAATGTGGAACCATTACATTGGTGGTCAGAATGCCACACTTACAGACACCTAAAAAGATAATTGGTGTCATGCCGATGGCTCTGCCAAGTAGTGTGGCCCCTGAAGTATGGAGGCACCATTATAGGTGAGGTCAATCAGCTGCAGCTCGAGCAACCTCTGGAGGAACTAACGGATAACTTACAGGATTATAGAGAAACCGGCTTTCCATTATACTTAATGCATATCTTCTCTATTCTTCAGTACCTGCAAATTATATAAATCCACTTTGTGTGCACCAAAATGCCTTTGCCACCCAGATATCTCTTTGTAAAAATAGCAGTGACATCATCACTGTGCTGTACATACCTGGTGCAGAAAAGCAGAGCAGGAAAGTACCGGAGAGGGTGGAGACGAGACCAGTCACCCTGCACAAGGAGAGAGAGTAGCAGTGAGCGGTCTTTATTACAGGGAGCTCCAAGTCTCACATGGGATTACTGCACAGATCTGGAAGAAATACACATGACTCTTGTATTAGGACAATATATAATTATCCCGGAGTACAGCATTAACACATGTTTGACACAAGGTTGCATCCTACTGAACTTTTCATGTTTTTTTTTTTCCTCTCTTCACAGATCCAAACTTAGTTTGTTCCAATCGAGGATAAGTTTACAGAAGGCCAACGTGAAGGTAATTGTATGTTGCTTGCAAATTTGCATTTACTTTCTAAATTGCTTTATTCCACCCCTGCAAAATGCACATGGATACTAATGAGAATGTCATTCATTAGGTAGTGATACCATCATCTGTCATTGTCCAATAGCCACCAACAACCAAGTCTTGCAGTGCCTCATGGGACTTGTAGTTGCACTACAGCTGGAGGTCTAGAGTTTGGCTACCCCTGCCCTAAACCTAAACCAGCAGTCAACCATTGAATTATGGGAAATGGGGGGCAGGGCCCGGCCCAACTGCATGGAGAGTTTTGCGGTTTCAATGGAGTCCCTGTAATCAGAGGCGTAACTAGAAACTTCAGGGCCCTGGTGCAAGAAACCATGAAGGGCCCCCCACCGCCATGGGAAGGCACTATAAACAGGCAGTGTTTCTTTAACATTAAGGCTGCCGAGGTCCCCAACAAACGGGGAACCGCAGGCAGCTGCTTCAGTTGAAAAACGTAGTGCCGATATCTGCGTTTAGTATCGAGGCATTTTCACGAGTACTGGTGAACATGCCCAGTATTGGCACTGGTGCCTCCCTACTTGATAATATAATGTATTGCTGGGACTTGTAGTCCTGCATGGTTGGTGCTATTCTGCATTGCTGTATAATAATTATACGGGGGGGGGGGCTCTTCTTCCTCCTCTCTGGGGCCCCCCCAAACAGGTGGAACGCCACTGCCCGGTCGCAATTGCAGTCCCTGTAATGTTTGGGTAAGTGAACACTGCCCTTGTCATATATTTCGGTTATCGTGGAAGCAAGGTATTGAGCTCCTCTTCTGTACGGCTCGTCCCTTGCTGTGTTGCCATGGAAACAGTGAAAGAACATGGAGACACATGGGGATAAAATCGGCCTTACAGTGTTTCTAAAGTCCAAACTTTTTTTTGGGTTAAAAGATTATTTTTTTTCGTGCCGAGTCTAATTAGGAGATTTCACTTCTCCACAGGAGATGCAGCAGAAAACAAGATAAAATCTTCACTAAGTGAGGGGGAATCCCCTTATAGGTCCCAACGAATTGTGTAAATACATTTTAGATTCACATACAGAGCTGAGCTCCGGCCTTCCCTTCAGTCTTGCACAGTTGCACCGGCTCGTCTCCTGGATTGTACTTGCTTCCTCTCATTTCACTGCACACTGCGAGCTTCTCTCAAACATCACATGTGGGCATTACCTAGTGATTGCAAATGCAGCCTGCAAAAGAACACTCCTCCAGACTGACATCCACCCATGAAGGCATTCTCAGATTTGTATGACTTCTTCCAAGAGCCAGCCCACTGCTTGCGTCAAGGCCGAGAGCTTGTAAAAGTAGGAGTACTGAGGCAGGGTGCTGTGATGTTTTCAGGAAGCTATGTGCAGCACCCTTCCAGCCCCTGCACAATGCTGGCAGATCACCAGCTATGATCTGCCAGCATTGCATAGAGAAGCACAGTGAACCAATGATGATGTCGCTGGATCTAAGTTAAAGTATGTCATGAAAAGAGAAAGGAGGAACCAGGGAAGGCAATCCAGATGGCAAGAATAGAACCATTTCAACCTGAACTAAAAACTGCTGATTCGGGTTTGAAGCACCTTCCAAACACAAAGCAAATGGCACTAAATGGAAGCCTGGCTACACTGGCCCTGGAAACTCTGCTCTTCATGGTGTCATAACCTTTACCAAATATAATGTATTCGAGTTTGCAAATTATCATTTCTGCCATGTAGCCAAAAATTTTTTATTTTTTTGGATAGAGTAGTTAAGGGCTGAATCCCCTGACAGGGATTTGCTGTCTTTGTCCCATTGAGGAGACTTCCCTTCACTTCCTGCCCTGGAGACACAAAAGGAAGTTAGAGTAAATCTCTCCAAAGGGAGGAAATCCCCATCTTAGACACCTGTCACCATCCCTATTGGACTAGTTCCCCTCGCCTCTTTCTGTTTCTCTCTCAGAATAGAGGGTTGATTCTACATAGTGGAGACACGGCTATAAATAAAAACAAATTCTACAACAAAAACTATGACCCCAAAAAAAAAAAGTTTTGCATACATAAGTTTTTTTTTTAGCCTTCACGTGTGTGAGTTACTTTTTTTTCTTTCTCCGTTCAGTTAAAAGCCCGGAGGCAAGAGTGTAATGCCAAGGCCACCCACGCCCGCAATGACTATCTCCTCACCCTGGCCGCTGCAAATGCCCACCAAGACCGCTACTACCAGACGGACCTGGCAAATACCATGAAGGTGAGTCCATCAGGGTTGGGAAGCCATTCTGGCTGATAAGACTCCTCATGTGCATGCATGCTGGCACTTGTAGTTCTTCAGCAGCTGCTGGGAAGTAGAATGGTTTTCTCAGGCCTTAACTTATGTCATCGCCTCATAAATTTGAAACCTTCGATTACGGTGCAATTCTTGAAGTGTGTTTTAGAGGTGACCTCTCATCGCATATAGAAGACACAGCTCTGTAGTCATTAATGCATGACATGCATCTTTACAATGCAAGCAGTGCAAATACCTAACCCCTTGGTGTCACGTTCTGCAGCCAGCTCCTGGTTATCCAGTAAACGTGATCCGGGTGATCACTTTTACTGGCCTGCGTGTGTGCCGCACCCCCAGCTGTGGTTCTACAGGTATTTTTATAGTACAGGCAATGCACTCACATTCACATCAGTCCCGGCTCTCAAGGAGCTTACAATCTAAGGATACTGTTTCACATACATTTACACTAGGGCCAAACCTTCCAAGCATGTCTTTGGAATATGGGAGAACACCCACGCAGGGACAGGGAGAACATGCAAACTCCATGCAGATAGTGTCCTGGCTGGAATTCGAACCAGGGACCCACAGTTCTCCAAGACAGAAATGCTAGGGCCAAGCCACTGTTCTGCCATAGTTCGTGCAGAAGGGATGTTTTGAGGCCACACAAGACCCCTAAATAATATATACTGTGTGTGTGTGTGTATATATATAATAGAGAGAGAGAGGCTCCGATGCCTAGCCCAATCACTTGTGACGAGCGAGCATAGAGTCGGCTTCCCGGCCAATCAGGAAGTCGGGCTCCGTGTCATTACATGGTGCTCGACTTCCCAACTGGCCAAAATGCCGGCTCCGTGCTTTCTCGTCCGCTAGTGACGTGAAGCATGGGGACGGCTTCCCTGCTAATCGGGAAGCCGGGTGGTAAATCTTTTATACACTTCCCGGGTAATCATGAAGCCAGGGGGCGAGTCATTACACGCCACCTGGCTTCCTTAACTGCCTCCGGGCCGGCCGTAGTAAAAAAACGGCCGGCCAGGAGCTTTCTAGATCTGAAAGGGCGTCTCTAGACGTAGCATGCTGCCTGGCTTCCTGAATAGGACTTCCGGTACTCGGTATTTGGTATCGGCGAGTACTGGGAAAAAATTAGCGGTACTCGATACCAAAACACCGGTATCGGTGCATCCTGATATATACTATGTGTATATATATATTTTTTTTTTTAACATAAGGCACAGTGTTGCGGTACCACGTGTTGCTTTGTGTTGCAACACACAGCCACTGCGAGGTTCACTGGGGTACCATTCATATGAATGGCAATGCATTGCACCTAGCGCATGGTACTGCGCACTTAGGTGTTCTGTGCGATAGCATGCAATAAATGTGCGGTATCGTTAAAAATAAAAAGAGTTAACATCAAACAATAGCCAAAACCTTTTTAATTTTTGGTTTGGATGCAAGGGCAAATTGTTGAGGAATCACACTTGTTGTCTCCAATGATTTTCTATGCAAGGTCTGGAGGTTTTGGCTGGATCTGGGCATAAAAAAAAAAAAAAATCTAGGGATGGAAGAATTTTCAGGAGGATCAAGAAAGTTGGGGGTGCCCAATAATAGGGACAGAAGTGCCCAGCAAGGGTTCAGATCCAGAATTTGCTTTAGGGTCCTTATGTGATTAGCAATACTACCGGCTAACATCGTGCCACCCTTATCTAGATTTATAGTGTGCATTCTATTATGTTTTTGTTTTATTGTGGAGAAATCCTTTCAGACAGTATTGTTGTCTGGCTGTTGTGCTGAGCAAGAGGTGGCTCTGCAGCAGTTACGCAGTTAACCCAAATCTGCAGCCCCAGCACTTGGAGACCTGCCCTGCGGATAATAGAAAATAGCCAGAATGCATCATATATCTATATGGCAGAAGTCAAATAGATTTAGGATTATAACCCTCTTCAGTTATGAATCTCCTGTACACAAAAGCATTAACTCCATCTGCACCGCAAGCGCTACACATGGCTGATTAAATAAAACATGTTTTTATATATATGTAGATATAGATAGATAGATCTATCTATCTATCTATCTATATCTATTGATAGATAGATATATCTATCTATCTATCTATATTGAAAAATGGCCTGGACTGGAAGGGGTCTAAACACCTGGTCTTGAAGTGGTTAATGGGACTTTCGCTATTCAGTATCGGCGAGTACTGGCAAAAAAAAAAAATATCGGTACTCGATACCAAAATACCGGTATCGGTGCATCCCTAGTTATAATGTCATTATGATGTCAGAGGGTAGACTCTTTTGCTGTTGTCTGATTGGTTGATGTTTTATACAATGTTTGCTCCTTCCACCTATACTTATCCCACACTTTACATAGGGGGTCCTGCGTGGCCTTGAAGTGTTGCACTTGCACTAACTGTGATGTGATCGCTTCAATAAATGTTTGGACTATGTGTTAATGATCCATGGAGTACTAGCAACATATCTTCTCCTCTATGAAGGTTCTCATTCATCCAGGTCATGGTATATTTGTAGAAAATAAATCAAAACAACTGGACTTGCTGTGTTTTTCTTGAAGATGTTTTACTGGTCATCCAACCAGCTTTCTCAATTCAGAATTACTTGTACAAATATTCTCTGGGAATACAATGCTGGTTTTAACACCTCTCTCTGGTTGGCTTAATAACACCTGCTAGCTGCAGTCATGCAAATGCAACCAGCACCTGACCCCACCTGTCTCTGACCCCCCCATGCTGGTTATGATAAACAGATTGTGTTGATTGGAGCAACATTCACCATATTTATTTCAAGAGAAAAATCCAGCAAGTCCAGTTGTTTTAATTTATTTTCTACAGATATAAGATATCTTCTCGTCTATGCGGAATCCAGTTAAGCAGCTCACTGTTACAGCACCCTCCTACCCCAGGGCTAGTCCCAGAAATGGGTGCGATGGGCGTGCATTGAGTGTTGGAGATTCCCCCTCTCCTGGTAAAAGAATAATTCTGATCCTAAAACCTCAGATTGTTTAACCTAAAAAATATCCTGAACTCTCTGCTCCTATCGTCACGTTGTAATCATGAATACCGGGCAATCTGTTCTCCTATGATATCACCGCTTGTCATCTAACCCATCGCCCATTCTTGTTTTTATCGGCTCATTTTGGCCCTTTTGATTAAGCGTTTGTCTTTGTAGTCTACAATGTCCATTTTCCTAATCTTCCTGTACAGCGATACGCTGCAGATAATGGCTGTGTTACTTGTCTCGATTGTTGCAGTGGAAAGGGCGTTGGCGCTGTTTATACAATCGGTCTGGTCCGACTTCCTCTGTGCTTTGTACTTGGAGGGTCGGAGACAGGTTAGGGGGAGATGGCAATTACCTAATTGGATTGTTTGTGTCTTAATAACATCATTGTTTCAGTACCGGCAAGTCATATCTGTGAGACATGCAATGTGCTTTAAAACTTTTTAAAGAGACCCTGTCACCTTGTGCATCTTTGGCAATGCAAAATTATCTGGTGTTGGCTGGTGTCAGAACTTACATGGAGCAATGACATCACCCCCATGTCATGAGAGGAAGGAGGTCACATGCTTCCCCATACCCGAAAACACTGAGAAGGGAAATTATCAAAACTGGAGCAGGTGTGCATGGCAACCAATCATATTCTCTCTTTCATTTTCAAAACTTAACTTAACAAACTGAAGAGAGAAGCTGATTGGTTGCCATGCACATCTGCTCCAGTTTTTGTCTCCTCCATTTTTGATCAATTCCCCTCTGAATATTTTGTCTGTGGTGGAGGAAGGAACCCTGGCAGGGCAAGTGGGACCTTGTCTGGTGCTGGGTTTTTAGAAGAACTCCGGGTACAAAATGTCTTATCCTTTGCAGTGCAGGAGTAGCCTGCAAAGGGTTAATTGCTCATTTTTGCCCAGGATCATAAACCGTTGTACTCCCCCAATCCTCGAAGCCAGCTTGCTCTTAGACCGGTCCCTGGAGCCTCTCTCCCTCCACTGCAGAGGTATAAGGTCCCTGAGTCATCACGTTCTATACACAGCGTATAGGATATAAGGACGCCGAGGGGCATTCCATGTCTGCAACAGAGGACAGCCAGCTGGATCCGAGGTTCAGGTAAGTATAACTTTATTTGTGACCCTAGGCAAAAACGAGCACTTAACCCTTGCAGTGCGGGGGTAGCCACTCTGCAAGGGTTAAGAACATTTTCTCCTGGAGTTCTTCTTTAAGATACACTGTCAGTTTGAATGGGCTTAAAAGTGACAGGGTCTCTTTATGCAGTCATGGTGGATGCTGCCTACTTACGAAAGCTTTCTTTTTGTTTTTTTTCTGTGCAGCCAGTCTTTGTTTCTATCCCAGTTTCCTCATGTTGTATGGTTACCCTGAACCTCAGTCATGGCTGGTATATCTGGGCAAATGGCATTCACACTGGAATCTGCCAATAGAGCCTAGCAGTATAGAAAACTCCTATGCTCCTCTGCTCCATCCAGTGGCAGGAATGGCATGCAAATGGCATTGGCCCAACATTCACCAGGCAGAACATTCTAAGCGGTTTCAGGTACTGCTGGTATACAATATTGCACACATGTACAGGGCCAACTTAGACATGAGCCAATTAACATTCCAGCATGTCTTTGGAGTGTGGGAGTACCCGGAGGAGAACATGCAAACTCCATGCAGATCGTGTCCTGGCCAAGATTTGAACCAGGGACCCCCAGTGCTGCAAGGCAGAAGTACTAATCACTAAGCCACTGTGCTGCCCAGCCACTAAGCCACATCCATGTGCATGCGCATGTTTATGCAGCTACCAGCATATGCCTGCCTACAGTCGGGTACAGCCATTGATTTATATCGGTGACTGTACGCAGCACCTGTGTCCCCTGCACTGGAAAATGCACCCACATTTTACATTATACGGCCCCTGGGCCTGTGTGCGTGAGCCCTGAGGGATACTTTGTATCGAGGCATTCAAAAAGCTGTTGT